TCCCGTTAGATGCTCATGACCAAAACTCAGCATATGCAGAGATTTGCTGCCTGAACGCTCGGCACAAACCCAAATCACGCCCTCTGTGGTGAATATAAGAGAACATATACTGATTCATAATAGTATGACATGACGATGAAGGTAAGTGCAACTAAATATGGTTGGATTCTGTAGTAATGAATAAAATTAATGCAAACCGACGTGAACAAATAATTGTTGTTGTTTTTTAAATCTTCTTTGCCAGTCATGTGCACGATGACTCGTAATAAATGTTATAACAGCAAATAGATAACATTTCAATATAGCATTTATTATTATCATCATATGCGTATAATTTTCCATGTTTGGGTCAAGTAAGAGATCGAAGATGGAGGGCGTGATTTCAGCACGAGTCGAGTGAGTCCCAAATGGATCCCGACTGAAGGATTAACAATTTTGCATGTGCTTAGATTCATGTAACATGACCGGAGTAAATGTAACTGGCCTTTAAGGACTAACAAATCATGACTGAGTATATATTATTTACAAATCTACTGTAAATGCATTAATTATTCACTAGTTTCGCTGATAAGTAAAATACGCTAAAATTAAATCTACGGGAACATGTGCAATAACAATCAAACAAATTCGTAAAATTAAAACATGATGAATATGCTCAAAACATCAAAATATTTAAATTAAATGGTTTTACAGTAATATAATTTAAGCGTCTATCATATTCATATTGTGTAGTTAATTGTTCATAGCACATTCATGCAAATCTTGAGCATGTTTTCATTGGGAGCTCATACACAGTTAAGCAGCATACAACTGTATAAATCGACAACTATTTTTAGTTAACTACTACCGCTTGATTTAATGAATAAAGATTTACTGCATTGAATGAGTTATTACCAGCACATATCTTGTGATTCAGTATATTTTGTATGCATATATATATATAGCGTATTAAAATGCTACAGTTAGTGTACCACATCATGTTTGATATGGTCACTGTCACTGTCAGTCACTAACATTGTCATGCACTCAAAACCATTGTAAAGGAGGCTGTGCATGGGAGAGCCAATCATCAGTTCCTCCTTGAGCTCAGAAATGTGCAGATATTGATTACAAGTCACAGATCTTTACTAAATTATTATCTAGCCACAGGACAGCAATTCATTCTGTTCTTCAAGCTAATTACCAGCATTATATTTTTATACTGTAAAATACTTTATTTTAGCTGGAATTAATTTTTGCTGAAAGACTTTTTGGTTGTTTTGTATAGAATTTATTTTCACCGATTTCTGACAAGTTGAATGTAAAATATAGGAGAAAAAGGTATATTCGCTGCATTTTATATTTACTGAATTATTCCTTCAGCGTGAATAGCGAAAATAAATTCCAAGCGAAAAAAAGTATTTTACAGTACATATTTGATCTACCGGTATTAGAAACAAAACTCCAATAGAGGTACTTATGAGCCAAAAATTGCCTTGGCTTTATAGTACTAATTTATCATAGAAAAAGTCGTTATAATTTATGTGTATGCGCTACTAATGGAGCAAATCTGGTACTCTAACCACCTTATTTTTAAATGTGTGGACTCAATGTGTCTATAATCTTCTTTGTAACTATCAAAACAGGGGAATGTTATTATGTGACTGTATAGAAATGATTTACGTGTCAGAATTTTTTACAATTATTCTGTCTTTTTGAAGATGATCCTGAGAGGCTTAAAAGACTATGTCACTGTGATGGCTGTGAAGATAAAAGAAGTCGTCTCAAATATAAAGATCCTAGAGCCGGAGCTAAATTAAAATTAAGGTAAAATCTAATTAACATTATTTTGTGTTAAAACACACCATTGTGATTAGTCAGCTTGGCGGATATATAATGAATATTTACCGGATTCGGCTGATACCCCACCCTGGGCGATCTTATGGAGGATTCGATTTTTCTTCAGAAAAATGTGGACCAAAAGATCGGCGATCTTTTGGCAGATATTACGAGGCCCATCTTGTCTGGAAAAATAACCCTGCGTTGATAAAAATGGTCTAGAAAAAATAATGTTTCGCGTTGACCAAATATAATCATGCAAAGTATAAATTCAAAGTGTTTTAATACATTAGTGAGAGGTCGCATTTTACGTGAACAAGAACATGCACTAAGAAGGAAAAGCAAGTCAAAGTCGAAACGGGGTGCATCATGGATATGACACAACACACACTGCGACAACTGAGTGATCAGCGTCATCATTTTGGGACGCAATTGAACTTCAAGTACTTTGCGAAACTTGCTGCGCGGCGATGCTGGCATCAAGTGTATGTTGACCGAAGTTGACCCC